TTTTGTTGTTTTTTTTTTCCGGCGAGAATTCAGAATGGACGCGTCTTATCTACACAGCGATCTTCACTTTAATGAAAATAGTAGTGGATGAGGTAGAATAATTTAGTTCTTTTTGGAAAAATGTCGCGCATGCTTGAATTGAAATGCCGTATTTTTAGATTATTTAAAGAAAAAAATGGGTGTATGAGTGCATCGCAGACGCAAGCGAGATTGAGGATAAAAAGGGGGTCATGGTTTATAATCGTCTAAAAATTAAATAAATGATGTATTTTGGGAAACTGCTCCTCTCAAAATAGGTAATAAATCATTGAATGTGAGTGGGTATAAAAATAACAGGTTAGCAAGAATCATTAAGTCATAGTTAGCGGATCTATATACAAAACTATCTTAATGATAAGTATAACTTGAATAACCCAGCTTTCACCAAAAAACCATTTTTGTGCAGATTTTAAAAGTAGGTACAAAATTTATAGTTTTTATACATAGGGATTTCGTTGTGCCTGAATGTAGTATATAGGATATGCACCTAAAATACACTTTATAATAGAATAGTATCAATTACAAAAGGTGTTATGAGAAATCCGGATTTTTAAAAGAAATCATTTAAATATAGTCAGATTTTGGAAAAAAATAGTCTCAATTCTGCGATTAAGTTATCTTTTTAGTTTTGTATAATATGATGATCAGAAAATTGAAATTTATAGCTTAATTATGGTTTAATTCAAAATATATTGCAAACATTTTTTTTCAGGAAATATGTATTTCATTTAAAAAAGTTTTTACCAAAACAAAGATTCGGTTACATTATAGATAAAACTATAATGATAACGGCTACAAGGGTCAAACTTTGTAAAATTTTCGGTATTTCAAGAAAAAAATTGCTCAAAAACTAAGTCTAGATATAATGAAGGAAATCATTGGCTCAATCAAATGACTGTGATTGAATTTAAATCATTTTTTTTTTTCGAGAATATTGAATTTCGATTAAATGAAATTGAGAACAACAAAATAAAAAAAATTCATATTGACACAGACTCGTATTAACGAAGTTTTTTATTGCAGATTCGAATTCTAAGGGTAAAAACAGTGATCAGAGAGACGAGCGGTGTGGCCACGTAAACTAATTCACTATATTTTTAAACTAAGAATCATCTACACCGCTAGTCGTCAATAAGCGAAGCTTAAAATGATATTTCCCTGATAAAAATGCCATTTTAAGCTTCTCTTATTTCGGATAGCGCTACAAATAGCCCTGTCTTAAATAATGAAGTGAAATCAATATTAATAATATAATAATTAAGGAAAGATTATCCATTTTTCTCGAATGTTGTCTAAATACTTCAAAGAATGAAATAAAATCACAAAATCTACCATATATATTTTATTACATTAGTAGAAGTTGCTAGTTTCGGCCATCCTGGCCATTATCAGGCCTACAATAACTATTATGTTGAAAGGAAGAATAGTAATGGTTAAGTTACGTACCTATTTATAAAAGGTGTAAAAATTGTATCAAGAAATGTCCATGGTATGGCAAAACATTTACTGCAGGGTAGATTTTAAAAAATAAAAATGTAAATGTAACTTTTGTAATGTCTAAGTATGAATACATGCCTCTACTTTGGAGTGAATGGTTCGCTGCATAATATGGAAATTTCTTGATACAATTTTTATTTCTTTTATAGGTATATAGGTAAGTTAACCATTTATTGTTAATATTATTCCTTTTAACATAATAGTTATATTGTAGGCTTGATCATGGCCTGGGATGGTCGAAACTAGTCGCTTCTACTAAATATAATAATAAAATGTATGTGATACAGGAGTGGCATAAAATTGATCGAATTGGAAATTTGATCGAAAATACATTTTAGCGGATGACATTTGATCGAAGATATATTTTATCGGAAAACAATTTATCAAGAAGACAATATATTTAAAATTTATTAGATCAAAAGGACGAGATATCGAAATAACGCTAAATAAAATAACAAGTATCAGAAAAGCGTCTGGGGCCATCACGGGATGCTCTGCAATATTTTTTATATAAAATTATAAAAAACCCTAAATACTTTACCTAACCTGTATGGCCTGGAGCAATCGCGGGTTGCTTCGTAACATAAAATGGAAGAAATTAAAAAAAATAAAACTAATTTACCTAACTTTGCGACCTGAAGCAATTGCGGGTTGCTTCACAGTTTTTTTACATAATATTAAAAAAAATTAACTAGTTTACCTAACCTGTGCGGCCTGAGGCCATCACGAGTTGCTTCGCAAAATAAAATTGTACAAACAATCAAAATAATTAAAAAAAATTACCTAATCTGTGCGCCTTTGAGCCATTTTAATTTAATCAATCGCTCACGAACAGATTAGGTAATTTAGTTAGGTTTCTTCTTCTTATTTTTAGCATAATTTTTTTACGAAGCAACCCGCGATGGCTCGAAGCCGTATAGGTTAGGTAAATTAGGTTTTTTATGTTTCTCATTTAATGTAAATTTGGTTTTTAGATCAATTTCTTTTTCTATCAAATCTATTTTCGATCATAAATCGATTATTTTCCTTTTCGATCTCAATTGTTATTCGATATATTGTTTTTTCGATCAAATGCAGTCAATGAATTTTGTGCCACCCGTGATACAGATTTTGTGATTTAATTTCATTCTTTGAAAAATTTTAATTATTATTTATTTTAATTATAAAAATTTTTGCTTGGGTTTTGTGTAAATCGCCTACTTCAATCCATTATTTATAATCATCGTCTTTCATTTTAGTAAGTTTGTAGAACTTGTAGAGTGTACAGTTCATGATAAACAGTTTTTCTTGAAATACCGATAATTTCACAGTTTTACCCTCAGTAGGGCCGTTACGTTAATTTTAAATTAAAATGTAAACAAACCTTTTTTTGTAGATGAACAACTTTTGTTTGAAATTTTACAGGATAAAATGTATATTTCTCGAAAAAAAGTAAAAAGAAAAAAGGAAAAAAAAATCCTTCTTTTACAATGTATTTTTGATCTAAACCACAATGGAGATATCAATTTTTATTTCCGGATTATCTATTCTTAATCTACACAAAATACTGAAAATAATGACATCCTGCTCGACTTGAATGAAACTATTTACTTATAAATCGGGTACTAGCTGATAGACTAATATTCCTTGTAATGAAATCAAAATTTTTGCCAATAATACGCTATATTAGTTGACATAATTCGTGTTTCAATGACAAATTTATTGAGTCCATTTTATTTCTCATATTTTCAAGATTGTATTCGTTTAAACATTAAAAATAATTTGGTTAAATATCTTTAAACTACTTTTTTACGACCTACAAACATTATTTAAAAAAATACTAAAATCATATAGATATGTCAATTTCAATGACAGAATAGTTTAAATTTGTTAAAAGTCAACTGCCATTGGAACATATATTACGTTACACTTATATTATATACGAATTTAAAAATGACAGTATACTGTGCCATGGGATCGAAACTAAAATGAGAGCTGGATACAAGTTTGACGCTGTCTAAACTTTGATATTCCTTAGAAAATCTTATGTAACTTTAACATAGCAATTAAAAATATGATTGTGTGAATCTTAGGTATAAATATACATCAATTATAGAGTGTGTGCCATAAAGTTGGATCCATATGGGAATTTTTTTAAATATTACGATTGGATAAAAACGTCGTAGGGTAATCCCCTCTGCTTGTTTAAAACTTAAAATAGCTACTGACAATAGTTTTCTGTCAATTCGCATTTTTTAGAAAAATATTTGAACGATTTTTCAAAAAAATACAACTTTGACAGTACCTAGCCAACTTTAGTATGAGCTATTTTAATTTTTTAAAAAAGCAGAGATGAATGCCATACAACACTTTTTCTAATCGTAATATTAACAAAATTTCCCGTAAGGATCTAACTTTATGGAACACACTATATATTTATCAGATTTTTTTGCTATATTTAAATTAATTCTCAACAAAAAATATTGCCATTAAACTGATTCAGAATATTTAGCATTCTAACAGTAAAACCAGACCGTCTGACAATCTACAGAGCGAGTCAAAAATATGTCTTTTTTAATTGAAATAATTTTCATCTCAGCCTCAGTCAATAAATTTGAGGATCTCATGGAGGAATAATAAATTCAACCTCATCACGTTTGAAAAGGGCAAAAGGAACAATAATTATTGCCCAGTCGTCCGTATTATATATATTATATATTTTTTTAGGATTTGATAAATATTTCTTTTTTTTTTTTTTAAATAAAATAAATTAATGTTTTGTGGTATAGTTTAAGAAATAAGGAAGTACATTTGTGATAAATTTCAATCTGCATCTGAAGTAATATCGTATATTTTAATTCTTGGTATAATTCACTACGATAATTGTTAACACAATATTTGTAAAAAATTAGTAAGTGGTGCAATAGTGTTGTTAATACGGCTTGATTTTAAAACATTGAATGTACTATAGTTATTTACAAAAGTTACTGTTTATTCCACGAAGCTAGATAAATGAAAATGTAACTATAAAAAAATGACATATTTTGGCGTAATAATATATTTTTTATAATATGCGTGAAATGTTATGTGTCAATTGTTGTAAGTGACAGTTACACGGGGTGCTCAAGCTTTTGCGGGGCGCACACAAACGATGGCTTTTGAAAATTTCATTTTATTATATTCATTAATGATGTACAACACGTATAGAATTATCAAATATCAACACAAAGATTATACAAGAAAATACAGACGACAAAAAAATAAGATACATATATCGCAGCACGGGCAGCATAGTGATTGCTGACAGTGGCAGCGGCGGCAGCAGCGTGCGCGGTGCGCCGCAAGGACCCGTGCTTGGACTCATAAGCTAACAAACTGTCCGTAAGGCACTTGAGATGGCAGACACAGAAAATACTGAGTACTGAGATAACTGTGAACTGTGGGCGATCGCCAGAGGCGAATCTAATGCTTGTATTCGAACCTACCGGGCCTGTATCTGTCTAGAGAACCGTAATTGTGTGGAAAGATTGGCCTTGGTGAGTAGCCGTACGTGTCTCTGTGGAGTGGATCGTATCTGTAGCCGGGCACGTGGATGCGTTCTGATGCGGCGCTGGGGTCGTCGTAGATGGATTTGTTGTACGGCCAGGAGGATGATTCCGAGATGTCACTTATGGGACGGAAGATGCCTCTGCGGGAATGCACTGAATCGGTCGCCCTTAAGTCATCGGATCCTGTAACGAAAACATAACAAAGTCAATTCAATTCCATTTATCAAATATTGTCACGACTCGTATAAATTCATATTTTTCCTAATTTTATTTAATTATTTGAATAACATCCTGTACATAAAACTTTGTTTAATTACGTCGACAATTTTTGTTTAAATTGCAATCATGTGCAAGGTTGGTTATTTAATAATTATTAAACATTAGTTTCATAATAGTAAACTATGGAAAGGTTATAAAGGTAATGTGGAGGGGATACGCAGAGCTGTTTCCACAGGGAAGGATCCTCGCCATAGGAGGCCTCCCTTGTAGAATATTCCCAGTAGCAGCTCAAAATCACTGAGATTTCAACAGGAGGCTAAAGAATCTCTATAGTTTAAATTAAAAGTCTTCTTTTGTATTTTGAATCGCGGTATTGACTTGAGTCAAAAGTTGTGACGTATGCCCCAAAATTGGAGTTGGTAAGTTAATTTGTTTATTAAGATATTTATTATACTTTTAGCCCATATTTGTGTACGTTGTTAATATATTGAGCCTTGTGTATGTCGAGTTAGGACATAATTTGTATAATCGTTTTAAATTATATTACATTTGTTTTGAGAAAATGTGTTTTATTTAGCCCCTTTTCAGGGACGAGTTAGGTTCTAACATCAAGAGTAGAACTCTTATACAGTTAAGGGCTAGCCAAGTTTAAGGCAATATAGAGTTCTTACGTTATGTAGGCCCAGAGTGTTATATTTTGTTATTCAACCCCCGGGACATAGATAGTCCCATAATTATTAATGAGCACGTAAATCTTGACACCTTAGTAAAGGACAAGGCACCTTTCATGTCGAGAAATTACTTTGTATCAAATTTTGTGAAGTTTTGGTATCTTGTATAACTCTATGCTCTAACAAAAGTGTCACCCATGATATAACTAGTTTTTGAGGTATAGTAGAAACGGAATTCTCTCAGAATCAGCAGAGATTATTTTATGAGGATTTATTTACTTACTTGAATAAAACCATAAATTAATACAGTTATAAACAAATTTTGGCTACAATAAATTAAGTGCGAACTTAAATAAATGTGTATTATATTTTAGAGAATATCATATAGGCAGCTTATTATTTTGCTTATGTTAGTTTGGATGTTTTGAAAAAATTCCCTTTAAATTACTGGAAAAAACAAACTTTGGTAGTTCACAAAAATAATATTTGTCTTAATAAAATTATTTATATAAAAATCGGCCACAGTTTGTTTTTTCCTTATGGATTTTCATCAAGGAAAGGTCAAAACAATCAAGAATACTACTAATACTTAACATGTACGTCTTTTGCAGAAACCAAATTCTGCATTATATATTTTTACTAATCTTATGACTGATAGGTAATAATAATATTCTAAGAATCATAAACAGATCAGAAGGCCTGGCCTTTCACGTCTAATAATTGTAAGAAATCGTATTGGTACATTGGAACATTAGAAAACTCTTGTTAGAACACCATTTAGTTTACTTATTCCTAACTATCAAATATTTTAACAGATTTATAATAAATAAGCCATTTAAGAATACTATGATAATCCTTTTTTTATTTCTTTGTTGTCAATATCTATTACAGATTATGTGTAATAACTACTATTTGTAATATTATTTTAGTTTATTTATAGATTAATTCTTTGAATAAAATACTTTAAAAACCAATTTGTTATTTATTTTCCTTAATTATTTTATCGTATTTATAGATTAGTAATTTGAATAAAATACTTTAAAAACCAATTTATTTATTTTCTTTATTAATTTTCTTATTTATTGATATGCCCATGTCTATATCTCACCTCGTACCACTGTCCTCACCCTAACTTCCAAAAACTCAGATTTGTGAATAAGTTGTTGGAGATGTGATTTAATCCGTTTCGTTCAAGTAGTACATTCGGAAAAACGATGCCATCTCTCTCCCGTATAAGTAATAAATACAGTTTTGCGACAGTTCACTGTTTATGAGATGAGGGGTCCGCATTGTTAAACGCATTTCCGTAAATAAGCGGCAAATACGTCAAATCGGCGTGTGGTAATTGTCAGTCGATTAATAGTGGTTGATTGGTTTGATTATTTGATTGCTTTTAGTACTTATTTTAAGACATTGTAGTTATATTTAGACTTATTCATTAAATTGTGTTGATATTTTTGTCAAACAGACAATGGGACAAGTTAGTTTGCAGTTACCTTTTTCAGTGTAGAAATAAGCGGCAAAAACGTCAACTGTCAATAACTGTAGTCAATACCACGATGAATGACATCGTGGTCAATAATAATCTGACAACTTTGAGATCAAAGGAGCCAACCCAAGCTGTCGCTACTGTAAGGAGTGATTCACGAAAAATATTTATAAAGTAGGCCTTGGAAAAATTCACGTATGTCGAGCGTTCAATTCTTCTTTTTAAGCGTCAGTTTGGATTTAATTCAGAGGCCCGTCTATTTATCACGGATATGACTTGTATCTCTGTCTTTGTCGGTCATTTTATAATCATTATTAGTGGACCACACTTTATTATTACTTACTATAGTGAGAGACACACTGAGAAAATGCAGTGTGAAGTCTCATGAAGCGTGCTGTTGCCAGCCGTTGCCTATCCGTCCCTATGCTGGGATCAGCGAAAAAAAGGTCTGTTCAATAATAAATAATAAACAATGAATTTCAAAATTACAAATTTAACAAACAATAAACAACGTTTACGCAATAGATGTCATTTTAAGTAATCGTCGAGGTCATCAACGTTGTCTTGGAAATTATCAGCGACCAACATTTCTTCTCTGATATGTGCAACACAATTACGCCAATTTCGTTCAGTAACATGTTCAAATGCTTCATCTATCAATGAACGAACATCTTGTGTCTTGAAACCAAAGTTGTTCATAGCAATATAGCGCTTTACCTTATTCCATACCATTTCGATCGGGTAAAGCTTGCAATGATACGGTGGTAAGCGTATTTTGCAAATATTTCCTCAATTTTATATTTGTCGTATTGCTCTCTGTATGCATTGGCAACTTCTAGCAGCTCAGATTTTAAATAGGAGTCATCAAAGAAAATGTTTTTCAAACGGTCAATTTTTTATTTCGGGTTTGTTTCATAAGGTAGCTGAAAAACTAAATTTACGGGAATAATACGAAGTGTTACCCATAACAACAACGGCCTGGATCTTTTTTTGCAGTAAAGGTTACGGTTCTTAATTCAATAAATATTATCCAAAAGTCTAAAAAGCACAAATTTGTGGGTTGCTTCCTTTCCGCAGAAAGCCGTCCAATTAGACATCAATAGAGACAAACGGTCCTCATATATGCAATCAAGAATACTTGCTCAAACAATATTGACCACTACTTCGCCGATCCAGTCATAAGTTTCGGAAAGACGGCAACAATGTGTACCGATCTTCCATTAGAAATACATTTTCTATGCCTGGCCATACTGAATTCTCAGTGTGTCCTGAACTATAGGATAGTTCTATTTTCCTGGCGGAATCCTTTATGTTTAAAATTAATTCTGGGTTTTCGAAACAAGTTTCAACGAATCTTCCACGAGTTGACGTTAGCTATGGTAATGAAATTTTATGTTAGTAATAATATCCAATATTTTATTGAGGTGAATAACATAAAAACTCAAAAGTAATTTGTAATTGTATAAGTTACAGCATTGTCAGAGCTTGGGATGTATCACAAGATCTGGCGATTTTACAATAAAAAATTATCTGGTAATTACTTTAGTCATGTTCTGGTGTCTGGTGATTTTTGTAAATGATTCTATTTTGCTAATGTCATAGATCAAATCGAGAAGGAAATGATAATGTTATTAATAATTTTTTTTAAATTTGATGTACTACGATAGTTTGTTTAAAAAAAATCAGAAAATCTAAGAATAGATTATTTTATTATGATAATTGAGCCCCTAAACCACTGAAAATCTCCACGAACTTAAGAGAAATATCGAAAATGCATGGGTGAACTTTGTTAATATTTCCAAGTCTGAATGCGATTATTTTTTATATTACAACCCTTGCGATTTTGTAATTTTTAAATATTTGAATTACTAGACAACTTTGCCAGATATCAAACTAACAAACGTAAAGTTAAAAATAACTACCAAAATAAATGTTTTCTCAAAGTCGGGTATGAATTAAAAATATATAAATGATAAGCTATTATTATATAGAAATATCTATAAATTTCTTAAATAAGAAAAAAAATAAGAAAATTAGGAAAATTCCACGTTAATTCCAGAAACTATGTTTTCTTTACAACCTATTTTTATTTTGGCAATTTAAATTCAACAAACAATCTATTCCAAAATACAGCAGTGTAATAGTAATTTACGTTACAAGACCAGAAAGTAGTGTTTTTCAGGTCGAGACAAGCAGATTCCAGGGCGAGCCGTAGACGAGAACTGGAAGCTTGCTGAGATCTGCTTAACACTAATTTTCGGTCGTATTTTTTTTAAGACCGACACTTCGATGTAAACTCAATTATTTATTTTATTTAATAAAGTGATTAACAAATAGTAAAACTAGATAATGGATACAACTGTATAAACTAACCAAATACGTTATTTTTAATATTTATGTTAAATGTACATTTTTGCTGCTACCAAAATTTCTTCTGGAATTTCATTTTCTATGTCATAATTCAAAATCTGAATCCATATTTTTAAATTTGCGAGAACAAGTTTGACATAAACAGCAAATTAAAAATCAACGAACTGTCACTTGACAATAAATCGGAACGTTGTTACCATAGTAACGAAATCAAGCCAGACTGTATTACCAAACAGAAGGACCGGTAAAAGCTTTACCGTCTACTTTCCGGTCTTGATCGATAAATTGTTACTTTCTGGACGACAAATTGTTCAGAAAGTGTATATTTTCTGGTCGGTCTTAAAAAATAGTATATTACATTACGAGTGTGGAAAGTGACATTTTTCACACGAGTGGGAAATATTGTTGCACGAGGCGCAAGCCGAGTGCGACTATCACACGAGTGTGGAAAATCACTTTTCACACAAAAGATGTACAATATTTTTCCTACGACCACAAAATAATTTCATCAAAAAATGTAAAACCAGATTATTATAATAATTAAAATGTATTTAAAAAAATAATCAACAATAATCGTATTTATTCAATTTTCATAATTTCTAAACAAATAAAAAAAATTAAAAACAAAAAAAAACTGGTTTAGCCAGGATTTGAACGCGGTCGCTAGACGGTCTCAAATTGCAAAGTTCACGCTCTAACCAACTGAGCTAACAGGCCTTACGGTAATTGATTGATCTAATCGCTTATGTGTTTAACCAGAATAAAAAGCGAATATATCTTAGTTATTTTAAAATTATTTTAATAATAATTGTTAAAGATAAATATCTAGGATCTAATTTACAACAATTTCAATAATTTAGCAATCATATCGATTTTAGTATTAATATGGACATTATATAGATCAAAATAGAAATTATGTGTTTGACATTTTCTGACAGCTACTGCGGAAAGTAGCATATTCGTACGCGGGTGGAAAGTAAATTCTTATTTATACGCGTGTGATATAGGGCACTTACCATAGGACTATATAGTGTGATATGTGTCACTTTCCTAAGTGGTCGTAGGAAAATGTTAATATTAATTACCTAAGGCAAACGTTTATTATAGGCAGGCTCTTGTATGACAAAGAAATTAAAATCAATAATAAATAAAAGATACCACTATAAAAAAGGAAAATAAATTAACCCGTGGATTAGACAAGTTTTTGTTTTTCAATCTGAAATTCATCATTGTCGGGAAGGGTTGGTATATCTAAGGGGTTGCGACATACGATGTATTCTATCTACAATACATGAAATTACGAATAATGGATTAAATTTAAATATTTTATGTAAATCACAATGAAAATATTATTTAAAAACAAACAGTTTATACATTTTCCATAAATTGGCAGGCTTGGCGACTACTATTTCGAATAAAAATAGCATACAAGATGAAAGACTATGTCGCAACCCCCTTAGATATGCGAGTTCTTTCCACTGCATTTTCTGCTATTGTTCGACAGGTCGTTGGAATGCCTAACTGTTTATTATTCGAGTTGGAAGAAATTAATTTTGAAGATATGCTGTAATTTTTCACAATCCATTGACATGTGCCCAACTACTCAAAACATCCGTGGATAGATCTGTAATTCTGGTGAACACAATGGTAATAAATGAACGCGAGATCTAACCAATGAACTACAAAGGGATTCTTATGTGCGAACATAACACGTTACGTATCGAATAGAGAGGAATATTACATAAGAATCGCAATATGTCGAACCAATATAAACGTCTCGATACGACACGTATCGAAAGATGAGAATCCCACTGGCTGGAGTGGGGTAGAATGCCAATGTGTATGATGTGTCAATAGGACTAGGTACGATCCTATGGGCGAATTTTATTATTCACCTCACTCGGGAGTATTTATAATAATCATTTTCTGTTTCACATTGTTATTGTCTGGTCCACAATCTGGTGGAAGAGGATTGTTTAGAGTGAAATAGAAAATGTTTAATATAATTACTCCCGAGTGAGATGAAAACTAAAATGGTTGCACCCATAGAGTCGTATCTCAATACTATTGACATGCATTCTACCCCACTCCAGTTCATTGGACCTAGGCGCGGACATAAGATGGTAATAGGGTAATTACCCCTACGAGCTGCTCGAAGAAATACTGGAATTTATTAAATTGTAATCTCTAGATTTTACGAGAAAGCAAAACAACAAGATGGCGTCGACGAATAAAATTATCTATTCCCCCTCGAAAAATCTACCCAAATACGCGTCTGATTGGTTCTAACAAATCTAAAATCCATCAGGTAATTTATGGACGCGTTTGGTGGAATATGCTGGAGTCCCCAGTAAATAAAAAAACAGTCCTAGATGCTTCTATGATAAAGCAATTTTTTTATTTTTTTTTACATTAGTGACTCAAATAAATAAGTAATAAAAGTACTTTGTTATTCAAAAATTTTATATTCAAGTTTTTTTTTTTTATTTCAAGCTCATTCATATTTCGAGACGTCAGTTAACTTCAATTAAAGTTATTTTTAAACCAATGACGTAAAGCTAAGATAAATTCGTAAACAATTCGCATTGTAATATGTTGAGATTTATTTAGTCCAGAATTCCAAAATTCTAAAAATAATTAAGGAGTACTTAAATAGTTACTAAAATTCACGTGTTTAGCAAGTGGTTTTCTTGCGAACATTAAATTATTTTTATACATTTAAAACTGTTGATTCCTAACTGCTTGACAAAACTTACTATATTTGTTCTTATAGGTATATGTTAAAGTAATAATAAGGCATCTGTGATAAATAAGGCCAAATAAAATAAAGTTAATAATAACCAAGCAATAATAAATTTTCTCCACGGCCGCTACTAAATGTAGTTCTTCCAAAACCACTTGTAATAACAGGAAGAAAACTTCTCGCTCTTGAGATTGAAAAAAAATTCTGAAACACTTGCCTCTTATGTATTTTACACGTATTTCATTCTAATTCTACTGACATAATGTTCATTCTGTAATAGCTACTGGCTAATGGTCGTGATTACCACGCCCGCATTGTACATAGTCATGAATTTCAAGACCGACAGTTCTACTCGACGTATTAGTATTTAGTTTGAATTTGCCTGAATAGAGATAAGCGGCGTTTGTTAAGTGGAACTTAAATTCAAAAATGGGTGAATATAATTACTCTGATATGGAATTTGAAAATACTCCTCCTGGACTGACAAATTATACAAATGATTTAAGTAAAAACTTGCCTAACATGAGTTATATTAAATATTTCATTTTGTTCGAAGTTTAATTTTGCTATATTCGACTTCTACTGTCTGTGGCCGTGGAGAAAGTACAGTCTGTTGCTCTGGAATGAAATCCGATACTCACGCTCGCATACTCTCGCGTTCAGAATCTTTCACTCTTATCGAATTTTATTCCAACCTTGTTACAGAATATACCATTAAACAAGTTTAAAATCCACGCAGGTAGTTGGTAGCTTAACAAAGGCGCCCAAACAAAATTATATATTTGAAAAGAAACAATAACAATAATTATTAGATATATGAATACTTGAAATTAGGATTAATTTTTTAATTTTCAAAATTTTCTTTTTTTTGTTTTCACCATCAATAATTAATTTGAAAACTTTGCATAGTAACTAAGAATATACCATTTGTAATTCTAGATCTAGCTTAAGAGTGGCCAAAATGACATAAAATATGAATTAAAAGATTATTTGCGGAAAAGTAACGTACCTACGCGTGATTCAAAAAAAGTTAGTAAAATAGGCTATGATCGACAAAGAAGAATTGTATAGGTACGTGGTCTACTTTAGAAACATTTAATTTGGATCAGTATATATATTCAGTTGTTATGTTGTTAAATCATGAGTTAAGTGGTTTGTTTACTTACCCTTGAGGGACCTGACGAAGGACTGCCAAAATTTGGCTTTCTTCGAAGGTGACTCATTGAGGCTGATCATTTCCAAATGTTCTTTGAAAGACATGGTGTTAGTGAGCTTTTGTTAACTGCACAGTCTCGATTCGGTCTTTTTTTCGGTCGTTCGTCCCTGTAACAAAAACACAACCGTTAATTTTATAATCATTTTCTTTTTTGTTCTACTATTTAATTAATTTTAAATTTATAAGTAAATACTGACTCATCCCTCACTTCCTTGCTTACGAAGGAAAGAAATATTTAAGTAATTCTGAGAAGATCCAAATATATGGACGAAACGTTTCTTGTCATTATCTCATTAACGTACATTTAGCAATTGTAAAATGAATATGTCATTTAAAGAATAAATTTCATCGAATTTTCAACAGTATAAAATATTTTATTTTAGAAATTAGGTCACATATATTCGTAATTCGAAATGTATCCCGAAATAATTAGTTTTATAGCTTCAGAAACTTACAAGAGGTTTTGAAAAATTATTACTGTGATGAAATATCCGAAAATAATTTCCAAGTAGGACGAAAAACATTATTTGAATCGATTATATTTACGAGCTGAAATAAATATTATTGGCGATGAGTTTTCTGTGAAATAAAACCCATTCGGTCAGTATGGTATGAACATGCATTTTCTTTTTCCAGTTTAGCTTGTGGGTAGACATAATTTTCATATAACAACGACCTTTTAAATTTGTAATGTTTGCGTTAGCAACATAAAATAATGCATCAACAATAAAAAAAAAACTTAATGTGCACATCTGTTTCGATGCGTTTATATTTCCAATCTAAAATTTGAAAAACGATTATTCTATTTCTGGAATTATTCATCTAAATATTTAATTTAATTCGTACATAATAAAAAGCTGTAGTAAAATAGTCTATAAAAACAAAAATATTTGCAATAATAGACACTTTTTTAATTATTTACAAGATACTTCTTTTCATTTATATGCTTTAAACACAATGCCTTTCAGTCTCTATGACTATGAAAGTGGCTTTCCGTTTTGAAAATAATTTACGTCTTTTTTATTGGTGAATCTCATGTAAGTATATTATACATATTTTAAATTTTAATCAGTCACAAGATATTTGGACTATAAGACAAGTCCACGGAAAATAAAAAAATGCAAGCCAAATGTAACCAAAAAATGATTTATTCTAAAATTCTTTTACCATTTTTTTGTGTGTATTATAATTTCATATACTTATCCGATATTAGGCAAAAATTAATCATTTAACAGGGAACACGTCACATTTAAATTATCAGAGATCATGTTGGCATCCAATCTAATGACATTTACGTTTATAATAGACTAATTAAAAATTTCTCTAGGTCCGAGACTTTTTCATATAAGACAACTTTACAACGATACTTAAAATGATAAAAATGACATTTGACAGCACATAACCTTGAAAAAACATTAATTAATATTAAAATGATATTAATATTACACACAGTGATATGTGTCAAATTTCCATAATTATTCTGGATTTAAACAAAAAATTTAACGACATAATATGTATTACATTTGTAGCTTATCTAAAGGAGCTCCCATTTTACTAGTTTACGAGATCAACTTGTTGATTTTTTTGAACTTATTTAAGTGAGACTTGTTTATTCAAATAAATTTTCTCTACATTCCTTCACAGAGAAAATTCTCGCATGTAACTCATCATCCGGCAACACTGCCAACTTGTTAAGTAGCGCGCTTGATGTTGACGTTTGACGTTGACAGGCACATTGATTTCAAAAGTAAGTACCAAACTACCAAAAAATATTTATTAAGTGTAATATTTGATAAGGATATTTTTTTCTTAATATATGTAATAACTGTCCATCAATTGTAAAATAATGGGTGTATCATTTAATAAGCGTAGAAAATGTGTCTCTTTTTTTAATCGAGCTTGGCTACGACACTTTATTTTCATAATAATGCTGCGTTGCCTTGTTATAAAAAATCTAAGAACTAGTGAAATTATTCTCATTGGAATTATGGTAAAAGTGTAAAAGATTTAAAAAAAAATAAATGTGTCAAAAATAAAAAACATCAATCTTTATAAAATATCATATATCATTAAAACAACATTAAAAGCTGTGGTTCACATGAGCATTAAAAAAAGCCTTGCATTAGTTTAAAACAACGTGACACTACATAATATTTAATTATTACAATTACAACAAAAAGTTCGTTACCATAGTAATATCGATTGGTCGTTTAGACAATACCGCTGTTACTATGGTAACAAAAGTGTGCTGGGCAGTGGCTGCTGGTGCTGGTGCTGGTGTTTATTTTTGTTTAGATGTTTAGAACGATACATATCGACGTAGCAATTAAATTTCTAGGTTAGGTTTAATGAACTATCAATAATCTTGCCTTTCTCTTTTTCAGGTTAGCTGATAAGAGCTAGGTAGATGCCCACAAAGAGTATTCCCAGAAAATAAGCGATCAACGCTGAGAATTCTGAGGCTTGAGGTGTCGGTGTGGCCATCGCACTAATTTGGTTTGGCGAATTTTTCAACTGGCGATCTATTTTCGAAACGCTATTTATTATTCCCCCCTCTGGACCTATACGCGGCACAAGCGAATTTGATATAATTATTTACCACCCACTGCTGGACAGCACTAGAGCTATTTTTGCCGTAATCGCCATACATACAGGTTCGCGGATCAAGGTAATGTTTCCAGATATTTGCCCCAGTTCCAGTTTATGACGAATTCATTGGGGTGAAGTTATTTGTTTTTGTTTATGTTGTGATAGTTAGTACACACTTACACAGGTTCCAAATTCCAGGTGTAATGGCAATTTGAATAAGGTGTTGTTTTGCAATCACGTGATATATAGAGTGATCAACGTTTCTATAGCGATCTTTCAATAACTTAAAGTGACAACTCCGCCTACAATAGATAATTTCGCATTTTTTAAATTGATATTTGATTAATTATATAAATAAGTCCTATATCTACTATTTATACCACCTCACTATTTTTTTAATATCAATTTTTAACGCTAAAACCACTCTCTTAATTAAATATGGCGGGCTTTATGTCGTCATACCAGAAGCTTGCCCACGTTACATGAATAATCACTCGGTAATTTCAATATAATATTCGTTTTTCATAATTTGAATACGTTTATTATTATTATGAAAAACATAATGGAAATTTAATTTCTATTATGTATTTTATAATTTTATTTTTTGAATTTCTAATATGTTTTTCATAATGGGAATACGTGATTTATTATTATTATTATTATGAAAAACATAATGGAAATTCATGAATTAAAATTATTGTAATGTGAGCCATTTCATTATTCAGTCATGCTCTAATCCTCCAAATCCCTCTCTGTCTTATTTGGCCTTTAAGGCTCAACTTGTGCGATTATCATACATAATTAAACCCTTTAAGACCAAACATTATTACATTGACTCTGGAATGTACTCGAAAAGCACCTTAACCATAGTCGTCACATCTGTTTGGTCTTAAAGGATTTAATTATCGGACAAGTTGAGCCTCAAAGGCCAAATAAAACAGAGAGGGACTTTGAGGATTAGAGCATGACTGAATAATAATGAAATAGCTCACATTACATTATTAAAAATATAATGAAAATTCATGAATTAAAATTATTAAAAACATAATAGAAATTCAAGAATTAAAATTATGAAATACATAATGGAAATTGAATTTCTATTATGTATTTCATAATTTTAATTCTTGAATTTCAATTATGTAGGTATTTCATAATTTTAATTCTTGAATTTCTATTGTTTTTCATAATGAGAATACGTTTATTATTATTATTATTATTATTATTATTATTATTATGAAAAACATATTAGACATTCATGAATTAAAATTATGAAAAACATAATAGAAATTCAAGAATTAAAATTATGAAATACATAATAGAAATTCAATTTCTATTATATATTTGTACAATTATGAATTTCTATTATGTATTTCATAATTTTAAATAATGAATTTCTATTATGTATTTCATAATTTTAAATAATGAATTTCTATTATGTATTTCATAATTTTAAATCGGTTTTCATAATGGAAATACGAGTATTAAAATTATGAAATACATAATTTTAATTCTTTAACAGAATAATTACGGAATTAAAATTTTGGAATAAAAGATGATTTTTTTGCTTATTGAATGATGTTATTAAATACCAAATCGGCACGCCATAAAAGTCAGTAAATACATCACGTATTTAAAAAAAATAATTCATTAAAAAAGAGAAGTGTACTTTGGCGTTTTGTTTTGTAACTGAATAAATATTAAAAATAAATATCGTTTTATTAAAAATCCCAAAATTCCAACTTACTAAAACTAAATTAGGCTTGGACATGGAAATATTAATTGCGCAGTTTGTAGACAGTATGGTTAGCTATTGTGGACACTATGGTCCATTCTTATAGAAATGTGCTGTGACATTTAATTTCTATCATTTGAAGCAGCATTGTCAACTTTTCTGAAATAAAAAAATCATAGAACTGGAGAAATTTATAATCATTCCATTGTAAAAATTAAATGTCATTGGATTAGCTGCACAAATCATCTCCTTGATAAATTAAATACATTGCTTTGTGAGGTTATTCCTGTTAATTAATTATTTTTACCAATTTCAGATATTCGAAACTATTTGGAATGTTACTGCTGTTAAATCCTATTGGAAGAAAAATGGTTAGTCATTGAATCAATTTTAGAAGTAGATATAATCCGCAGAACTCTGTTAGTGTATCAAATAGAAACAAATATGTATTATAATGTATTAAGTTATATAAGGTAATGTAATGTGAGCCATTTCATTATTCAGTCATGCTCTAATCCTCCCAGTCCCTCTCTGTCTTATTTGGCCTTTGAGGCTCAACTTGTCCGATTATCATACATAATTAAACCCCTTAAGATCAAACATATGTGACGACTATGGCGGAGGTGCTTTCGATTACTATTCGAGAAAGAACGGGATAATGTTTCTAGTTTTGGCCAAGAACATTCTGAAACCTTCACCATAATTTTAAATTTGTATATAAATATTGGTGGAGAAACAAAGCAATCAGTTATATATCGACAGTGAAGATAAATAGTGAACAGTTTA